CCCCCTGGCCCACGCCCGGAACCCCGGGCGCACACGCACACCCCCTGGGGTCGGGTCACACACTCACTCGCTCACGCACAGTCAACACGTGGCCGGGAAAGTCCCCCACGCTGCACCCCAACCGACCGGCTTGCACCCTCGAGCTTCTACATACACGCATCGTCGCCATCAAAATCCATTTGTCCTGTCCAGAACCCCAGCACACATATTCTGGAGACCCAGGGGCGACCTGCCACCTCCCCCCACAAACACACTCATACTCGCCTTTCAAGAGCGACTCCAGGCTTAGCCACTTCCACACCTCCACCAGGGCACACACCCCAATTTAAACTCAAGTACAGCCCAGGAAATGACCTGCATAAGCACACATACCCAGACCCCCCGTGGGGTTCCCATAGTCAACCCTCCTCTTCCTCCTTCCCTAAGCCTCAGGGTAGGAGGGAGCGGGGTGTGGTCTGCAGGGCAGGGGGGACTCCTGGCCAGGCGCCAAGCCCAGTCTCAGAAACTGCTGGAAGCTCTCATCTCTGAAAGCAGGTGGCCGGGGTTCCCACCCTGACTTAGCCTGGTGGTTTCTGAGTCTGTCCTGCTGAGAAACGGAGTCCAGGGTAAGGCAGTCCTCACAGGAGTGTGGGGAGGTTTATGGAATGTGGCCGTGACTATATAAATAATTGCATTCTTCTGCATTGTCTTGGTGAAGAGTCTGGAATCTGGTGGGACCCAGAGAGTCCTCAAGAGGAGGGGTGTAACATGAAGGACTATGGGCCGTGAGGTGGGGAACCTCCCCCCACCCTGAGCTGGCCTTAGTTAGGGAACTTTAGCCCTCATATACCCCTCACTGCCGCCACCCCCACCTCTGCTCTACCCTGCCTCACCCCCATTCTCTCTCCCATGTACATCACTCATCAGAGGACATGGTAAGGCCAACAGAGCCATCCTCACCCTGCCTCCCAGCCCCCCGCGAGCAGCCTCTCACCTGGCTCCAGAGGGCAGCCAGCCTCCGAGGGTTAACAGCAGTTGTCTCTGCCCAAACCAGTGCACAGGTGCAGCTTTAGAAAGCTGTAGATCCTTTCATCTTTAAAATGCACACCCTTCAAAGTGAAACTAGACAATGATTTCCATTTCTGGCCAGGCTCCTGAATAGCCCACGTGTGAAACTGCAGATTCTCAATGAATTTTCATTGAAAAGTGACTCCAGTTCACTTTAGTTTGTTATGTCTAGCTACCTTAGCATCTGTGGGAGAGAGGGGTGGTGCAGAACAAACTCTATTCTAAGAGAATAAATTCACTTATAAATGCCACCTACTGTTCAGTTTTGCCCAACAACGCCAAGTGTTTGAGTTTAAAAAGTACGAAGAGTTGAAAGGCTCAGGACCACATGGGCGTACCTGGAGGCCTGCGTGGCTCCCTCTGTCTGCCACCAAGTGGGTCAGCCCTCTCCTGGGGTTCAGTTAGCAGCTTACTCACCGCCTGCCTAAAGTAGACCTCTCCAGCTTAGCCTTAATCTGCGATAGAGGTAGTGAGCCTGGCTCCATCTGCCACTTTCTTGTCTCGTGAAACCACTTGTTACAAAATTCCGTACCTACCTCGCAAGCATTTCTAACAAACGTCTCCAGCTATTTCCCCAAACCACCATAGATTAGAAACACATTAAAAGAAAGACTAGGCCCTCCCTGGTGGCGCAGCATGTTAAAGCACAGCACTAAGAAGCGAAAGCCACTTCTGCATGAGTTCGATCCCCGCCTGCCCCGGAGGTGACCACAGGGCGCGGCAGACCTCTCCTGACCCGCCCGCTGCTCCCCTCAGCAGTATGCTTCGTCCATCTGCCTGTTCTGCTCCCCACACTGTCTCTGGTGAAGCCTCTCACCACCCCTGAGCCTCTGGCCTGTACCCCAGTTCCGTATGCACAAATAAATTTAAAAAAAGAAAGAAAGAAAGACTAGAAGTGACTTCAGGAGCCCGCAGGGAAAGATCACTGCAAAGATTGTCGTCTCAAGCCTCTTGCCCTTCCCTTCACCAGCTACTGCTCCTGGCACTCTGACTGCTCGCAGGAGAGCCTTGCCCACAGACTGACCTGTGTGTGAGTGAGGTGGATACCCTGTGTACAGTCCTCTTTATAAAATGGGGAAGGTGTAACATAAAATAATAGAAGTATTTCCGTCCACAGTGTTTGTAATGTTTAATAAGTGCTGGTTCATTCACAGAGCATCTTCTGTAAGCGGTAGATGCATGTAGTGTCTGTTCGATGGTTAGTGACGCCGATGCCACAGGACCATGAGAGTGACCACTGAGTGTCCCAGCACCGAGGAGGTCGGGGGAAACTTCCCGACTAAGGGCGGGCTTGTCCCCGATTTGAGGGTGAAGGAAGTAGTAATGGGGCAGGGATTGACCTATCAACTGCTAGATAGGCAGGAGGGTGGAGAGAGCAATCCTGGGGTACAATCAAGTGTGGGGTCCTGAGCAGTTGGGTTCAACATAAAGTTTCGTGCTGAGACAGAGGATTCACAACCAAAGGCTGTGGTGAGAAGGTAGAAACTATGAAGCTGACCCTTTTCCAAAAGAACTTTGTAAAAGAATCTAGCAACACGATAAAATAGTTCTCCATTCAAAGGCATCCTTGGTACCTAGTGAGCCGGACGATGCCTTAGGGATACACGGTCAGGCAAACATAGTGTGACATTACACATACATTCAACAATTATTCAACAGATATTTATTGAGCACTTAATGTGTGCCAGGCGCTAGGCTAGACTCTGGGGAGACATTAAAACAAGGGGTTGATATTTCTAGTGTAGAAAAAGACAAATGAGTGATGGGAAGGTCGCCTCTGGGAGCTGAGATTGAGCAGAATCACTAAGTGCCTGCTGCCTGGCCTGTAGTTCCAGAGACTTCCCAGGAGAGGAGGAAAGCTCATCTCTGTTGGCAGGGGCAGGGGACGGAGGAAGGGGGCAGAGAGAAAGCAGAGGAACCTACCCAAGGTGTGAGAGCTGCAGGCAGCCTCTGGTGAGATCAGCCCTCAGCCTGACACTCAGCCCCCCTCGCCTTAAGGCTCAGCTATTTTACCTGGTTATTCTGTCTTACGAGTTTATGCAAAAGTAGATCAAATACATTAGAATTTGGTTTAGTTTACAAACGCATTTTGCTGTATGACTGGGTATGTCTCCTGGGGTGGCACCCTGGCATCAGAGTCAGCTTTCACCCCCAGGAATGGAGACAATGACCCAAGCGGGGAAACTGCAAGAGGGACTTGAGTGAGGAGAACTGGCCGGTGGGCGACGCTGTGGCGGGCTGGGGTCCAGGCTGTCCCCACCCCCCCTCCTGAGCAGGGGCTGAGCGCAAACCGGGTGAGGCCGGCAGTCCGCGGTTGCCCCCCTCCAGGAAAGGTGTGGGTGGAGAAGCCCCAGCTTGCCACGTGTGGCTTTGGCTTGGTACTTGGCATTTGGGTGCTATCTGGGGTAGGGTGGATGGCATTTGGCTGTGTGCCAGCCTATAAATTCTCTTTCCTTGGCTGTCCCCTCCCCTCCCCCCTGCCTC